ATAACAACGTCAATTGAATAACATTTTTATCTTTGACGTTATTTGATTTTGAGGGTTTAATGATTAGCCATTTGCTAACTTAAATTCTTATACAAGTTTCCCCTTTTTTAAAAAGAAGAATAAAAAAGGTTTATTTCACATATAAATTACCCTATCGTATGCAACGATTTATGATGTTAATTGAGTAGTGTTTCTACCTTTAATATCATGTAAATCATATATTTTAGGGTAAAATAAATATTTATGAATTTATATAATTTTGCGCAATTAATTAAAGGTACTGTATTTTTACAGGCGTCGTAGGGTGTTAATACCTTTCCTACACATAATTGACTTCCAAACCTAATTTTGATTTTAAAGATTATTTTTAAAAGATTTTTCAATATTTTTTCCTTAAAAAAAGATTAGTGGCGGCTACATTAAAAAAAATGAGTGTTATTATAACCCCTCTCTCTCTCTCTCTCTCTCTATATATATATATATATATATATATATATATATATATATATATATATATATATATATATATATATATATATATATATATATATTCATAGTTTAGAGATTTACAAGCTACAATAATTTCTAGATTATACTTTCGCTCTCGACCTTTCCACACACTAATCGAAAGAAGAAAAAAAACTCAACGCACTTCTGTTTTCGTTAATTTTCTTTTCGTCTTTAATTATAAAAAAAATGATTTTATTTGACTATATATATATATATATATATATATATAGATTATAATATATTGTATGAAGTATTATAGTAGGAATTGTATCATTGTGTTATTAGTTTATAATATGAAGTGTGATTAATATCTGTTGAAGAATTTGATTTTTTTTAATTATATTTTTTTTTCACACATTAAATTTAATATTTTATTTAAAAAGATGGAATTCGGAACTATAATTAAATAACGTGCGAATATATTATTAGGTTATAAAAAAGAACAATAAAATTGTTCGGTATTCTAGACAAAAATGAAAAAGAATAAGGAAAACAAACCCCTTTTGACTCTTAAGAATTAAGTTACGCATATGGATTTTTTTATTATCCGTGTTAAAAGTTCATTTTAGAAAAATGATACGAACTTTAATAAGCTCTAATAGTTAATTACTTCCTCGTTTGTGTGATGTTATAGCAATTTTTTCATTTTATCTTGATTATTGCTTTACAATATCAATAAGTATTAAATACTTTTTTTTATTACGTTTTCAGTCATTTATTATAGAATGAAACAATAAAAATAAAAATATTGATGAAAGAAGATCTATTAAATATGATAGACAAAATGATATATTAAAGAAAGTGATATATTAAAAGCTATATAATAATTTTTATAGAACTAAAATATTAATCACATTTTTTAGGTTGTACGTGAAATAAAATAGAACCGGAGAATAATTTTCTTCACTCATTGTAAAATAAATAAATAAATAAATAGGACGGATGAATCAATAAATAAGTGAATTATGATGTGAGAAGTGAAAAACCCCTAGTGAATTATTTGTCAATAATTTTTCAGTTTTTCTTCCCCCAAATCATTTGTTCTCTCACTTATTCATTCTCTGGTTCTGGTGTCTGCTTAGATAAGTCTAAATGGATAGAGAAATTATAATAGAGAGATTGAAAAAAGAAAAAAGAAACGTGAGATAAAATAATTAGAAAAAAAGAAGTGATGTTGTTGTGGACCGGAAATTAGCCGGTCATTTGATACCACTTGTTGTGCACCGAGATTTACCATACATATATTTCTCGATCATTAAAAATAATTGTGTATATATAAACATATGTCCATTCTTTTATTTGAGACTTTACTTATAGACGTAAAAATATAATATAAATGTAAGTGTTAAAAGTGAAACCGTTACAGTCAGACGTAGGGAGTGTGAGAATGAGTGGTCCTGTAGAGTGTAGAGTGGTACAAACACTGTGCGAAAGCAAAAAGCAAGGAGTTGAGAAAGGTCCCATCCGTGTGCGACAACAGAATCAAAGCCATATACCATCAAACCAAACACTTACTGCTTATTCCTAGTGCAATAAATGGAACCCCATTTTGCTTCCTACCTTAGCTGTATCATTGCCTCTCTCAATCATTTATTTCCTCACACCCTAAAAAAAAATCACCAAATTTTAGAGGTTGGAGTTTTAAGCAAGTGTCACAAAAATTAGGTGTACTAGTAAGGAGTAACCTAGTTAGAGGTTAATCATACAATGAACGAAAATGAAACTTCAGATGTCGACTATGCCGGTTGGCCTTTGCCATCCACAACTTAAAAACACTTTTTTTTTTTTTTTTGTTCTGAACCCGGAATATTCTAATCAATTCCTTTGGATGTCAATAATGAATTTTGGCTACAATATGCATGCTGTATGTTTAGTCACATGTTTGAATTTTGTAATCTCAATTATCTGACTGATCTTGAATACAACACTTACATGTTTGACAACCTTTTTTTTTTTTTTTTTCATTTTGTGGAATGTGATGTGAATTACAAGTAATTTTTTTGAATAAAAAAATAAGAAAGATGTTATTTTTTTTAAAGTTAATTTGAAAACTTAACTTTTTAACTATAATCTAACATTCGTGATCTAATGTTATCAAATTTTTTCTTTCTTGAAAGCATCTAATGTGATGTTTTCATTCACTCTTATTAACTTAGTAATAGTAAAGTTGAACATAATCCCTCATTTGTTGTGTTGCATAGAGGATTATAAGAGTAATAAGAGACTAATTTTGTAAAAAAGAACACTTGTCATATACTAGTTACGTAGAAAATGCTACTAATAAGTTAGCTTTTTATTAATAGAAGAAAAAATGATGCAACTTGCATATTAGGTGAAAAACGTTAGTGAAAAGCTGATTTTCCACTCTAAGAAATGAAAAATAGTAATTGACATACATGTAAAAATTAACTAATAAGAATGAAGAAAAAAAGAAAAAATATTGACATGTAAATTTTTTATATTGACTATACTAAATTGGTAAATAATTAAAAAAAAAAGACAAAATTTTAAAAATAAGTTGCTTTTTTATATTTAATATTGTGTTAATTTTGTTGGTAGTTAAAAAGAAGCTGTTTATATAATAATTATATGTATAATTTTGCATAAAGCTGAGGTATGCGAAGGCTGGCTTGGACTTTTAAGGACTAGAATCCTCTGTCATCATGTGCCCCTTCTTTTATCTAGCTCGTGCCTAGATTCCCAATGGAGGCACTTGTCATAATTTGAGTATAGTATTCTAGATCCCCAGCATCATCGCGAGGGCACCCAGTATATCTGAAATTCTGTATATGACTGAATCGCCAAGTGTCAACCCAAAACCAAAATTCAATTCATTCTTCTTCTACAAGTCCCCTCTTGTCACGCGACATCACGTGATGGCTTACTTTTTTTTTAATACATAGAAACAAAGTAAAATGGAATTAAACCTTTGTTAATTAATGAGATTCAAACTAGTTTAAAAATAAATGGATATATGGTTCTTGCACGTTCAGGATTATTAGTCTGGTGGTAAGTACACAATTATTTTTTTTTTTGGTTCGTCCCTGGAGTATCCAGGGCCGACAGCAGTGACTAATCTCCTCGCTACGTTGGAGGCACCTCAAAGGGTAGGATAGCTGACCCCAAGATTTAACGCGGCTGCATACACAAGGCAGGATTCGAACCCCTGACCTTGCTTAAGCGTGGATCAACCCCTGCCGCTGAACCATACGTTTGAGGTTGAGCGATGCTATTGGTTTATGTTAATAATTTGAGATGGGTTTGATTTTAAATAATACGAGATTCTCAGGACAAATGGACAGTGTCATAGATCGGATCATGTATGAACAAATTTTGCAAAAATGGAGCAGGTTTTGTATTCATGAAAAATGAGAATCCCCTCATGACATGATTTTTTTAAGTCTGGCTCAGATCCAAAGTTAATTATGCTTGGCAGGTTAAATTGGAGCAACATCTGAATCACAATTGTAAATAAAAATTTAAATCTGAGATCATGGCAGATAGATAGCAGACCCTTTATTCGAAAATTTCATTTTCCTTTCAATGTTCTGCTACAAATTTTCACTGTTTTTCAAAACCAGGGAAAGGATGGTTTTGGTGATGAATTATTGAAATGCGGACTCTGCTTACTCTGTCTGTAGCAAAAGAAGGCAAAACTTTATTCTGATTAATGCACCTCTAGGGCTTGCTGTCACCGCTAGCCGCTAATTCAAAATAGAGTGTAAAAAAACCAAACAACTATTTATGATGCACTGTAGGTTCTATTTAAGCAACACAAAATGCCCCCGAGGGAATGAAAAATATGTTTTTATAATACTATGAATATACCCTGTTAGTATAAAGTTTTTTTACATTGACAATCAATTATATTTTTTAATTGTGTCATATCACTATTAAAAATAAATATATTTATAGTGACATGATACAATTAAAAGATATAATTAGTTGTTAGTGTAAAAAAATTTTACGCTAACAATGTGTAAGTGATTAACTCTACTACTATTATATAAAAATTTGTATAATTTGAAAATGGTTAAATATAAGTAATGAGAAAACAAATTAGTACGTGAAAGGAAAGTGGGAAATTTAGTAATTTAAGAATTTCTGAGATTAGATAAAAACCACAAAATATTAACTTTAACATGATGTTACTGATAAAATTCTAGTAATTTCTGTTTAAAGAAGAGAGTATCAAATCTGTCGTTATCATATGAAAACCGTATGTTTTTATGGGGCCATCATTAAAAGAGGTTATAAGATCATCAATCGCATAAGCCTAAAATGTTAGCTCCTAAATCTAATTAGGCTTCTATTTAGATCTAACTGCAATGCATTACCTTTCAATACAAAATGGAGAGTCAGACTCAAAACTAGTTGGCCATGGACAGAATGTGTCGTAGCAGACAAAATGCGCCTGCCCATATTTTTAGGAAATTCGTCTCATCCATGTTACGAAAAAATCCAAGAGAAAATGAGAGCTTATTTTATAACAAGGCCACATCAAAAGATAAACGGTTGATATTAAAAACAAAATTTGGAAAGAAAAGCACTCACCCACCCATCCCATCTCTGTTACTCATTCTCAAAATTTTAAAACTGCTATCTATAATCCTTCTACCCACCGCTGCACTCCACTTCAACATAAACAAACAAATACTTAAACACAGCCATCTAAAATTCCATTTTTCCCTGCAGAAACATCATGGCCTAGCTGTTTCTTGGATCCGGAGATTCGGGGTTATTTTAATTTGCATATAATAACTCTTTTTTATAAACACAGTAACCCGCAAGACATGATTTGGTTCCGTCCCGTTGTTCCTCCCTAGGCTCAAACCTTTCTGCGTGTTCTTTCATTGGAGTTCGTAGCATAGTTGTAATGCCTGTAAATCCATGGACCCTCTTCTTATGCATTTCCCTTCTACTTCCACTCCATTCTTTCATAGCTGCAGCAGTGAACCAACAAGGGGAGGCTCTTCTTTCATGGAAGAGAACCCTGAACGGGTCCCTGGAGGTATTGAGTAACTGGGACCCAATTGAAGACACCCCATGTAGCTGGTATGGAGTGAGTTGCAATACCAAGAACGAAGTAGAACAATTGGATCTGAGGTATGTAGATTTGCTTGGAAGACTTCCCTCTAATTTCACCTCATTGCTTTCCTTAACCAGTCTGATCTTAACCGGAACCAACCTCACGGGTTCAATCCCTAAAGAACTAGGAGTCCTCAGTGAACTCAGCTACTTGGACTTGAGTGACAATGCCTTGAATGGAGAAATCCCAAGTGAGGTCTGTTACTTGCCCAAACTAGAGGAACTCCATCTCAACTCCAACGATCTCGTGGGGTCCATTCCAGTTGCAATTGGGAACCTCACCAAGTTGGAGAAGTTGATCCTCTATGACAATCAACTCAGTGGTGAAGTTCCAAGCACCATCGGCAACCTTAAGAACCTTCAAGTAATAAGAGCAGGAGGAAACAAGAACCTGGAAGGTCCTCTCCCACAGGAAATTGGCAACTGTTCCAATTTGGTTATGTTGGGTCTCGCTGAAACGAGCCTCTCAGGTTCTCTCCCACCAACTCTTGGCCTTTTAAAGAACCTTGATACCATTGCCATTTACACTTCCTTACTCTCCGGTGAGATACCACCTGAACTTGGTGACTGCACGGGGCTCCAAAACATTTATCTTTATGAAAACTCCCTCACTGGATCCATACCAAGCAAGTTGGGAAACCTCAAGAACCTCCAAAACCTTCTGTTATGGCAGAACAACTTGGTTGGCATCATCCCACCAGAGATTGGTAACTGCCAACAGTTGTCAGTGATTGACGTGTCAATGAACTCACTAACCGGAAGCATCCCAAAAACTTTCGGGAACCTGACATCACTGCAAGAGCTCCAACTCAGTGTGAACCAGATTTCAGGGGAGATTCCTGCAGAACTGGGGAAGTGTCAGCAACTCACGCATGTAGAGCTTGACAACAATCTCATCGCGGGTACCATACCTTCCGAATTGGGAAACCTAAGGAATCTAACACTGTTGTTCCTATGGCACAACAAGCTGCAAGGTAGCATTCCCTCTTCGCTTTCCAATTGTCACAACCTAGAGGCCATTGATCTGTCGCAGAATGGATTAACTGGTCCCATACCCAAGGGGATATTCCAACTCAAGAATCTCAACAAGCTCTTGCTCCTCTCCAACAATCTCTCGGGGAAAATTCCCTCTCAGATTGGGAATTGTTCCTCTCTTATCCGATTTCGAGCCAACGACAACAACATCACCGGGAACATTCCATCAGAGATTGGGAATCTCAACAATTTGAATTTTCTCGACCTCGGGAACAATCGGATTTCCGGCGTCATCCCGGAGGAGATCTCCGGTTGCCGGAATCTCGCTTTTCTTGACATACACTCAAACTTCATCGCCGGGTATTTGCCGGAAAGTTTGAGCCGGCTTAATTCGCTTCAGTTTCTCGATGTCTCCAATAACATGATCGAAGGTGCACTAAACCCTAACCTGGGTTTACTCGCGGCACTCTCCAAGCTTGTTCTCGCGAAGAATCGAATCTCCGGCTCAATCCCGAGTCAACTCGGTTCATGCGCCAAGCTTCAATTGCTGGACCTCAGCAGCAACAATTTTTCCGGCGAAATCCCCGGCAGCATCGGCAACATTCCGGCGCTGGAAATCGCTCTGAATCTGAGCCTGAACCAGCTCTCCGGTGAGATCCCTCAGGAGTTTTCCGGTTTGACGAAGCTCGGAGTGTTGGACATATCTCACAACGTTCTCAGCGGAAACCTGCAATCTCTCGCGGTCTTGCAAAATCTCGTGGTGTTAAACATCTCGCACAACAAATTCTCGGGACGCGTACCGGACACGCCTTTCTTCGCGAAGCTTCCGTTGAGCGTGATGGCGGGAAACCCGGCGCTGTGCTTCTCCGGCAACGAGTGCGGGGGCGGCGACAGCGGCGGGAGGTCGGGGCGGCGGGCGAGGGTGGCGCGCGTGGCGATGGTGGTCCTGCTGTGCACAGCATGCGTGCTGCTGATGGCGGCGCTGTACGTGGTGGTCGCAGCGAAACGACGAGGGGACCGCGAAAACGACGTGGAGCGTGACGGAAAAGACAGCGACGCGGACATGGCCCCACCCTGGGAAGTGACGCTGTACCAGAAACTCGATCTGTCTATCTCCGACGTAGCGAAATGTCTCTCCGCTGGCAACGTCATTGGCCACGGTCGATCCGGCGTCGTTTACAGGGTGAACATGCCGTCGACGGGGCTCGCCATCGCGGTCAAGAAGTTCCGCTCGTCGGAGAAATTCTCCGCGGCGGCGTTCTCGTCGGAGATTGCGACGCTGGCGCGGATCCGGCACCGCAACATCGTGCGGCTGCTCGGCTGGGGTGCCAACCGGAGAACCAAGTTACTGTTTTACGATTATTTACCGAACGGTAATTTGGATTCGCTGTTACACGAGGGGTGCACAGGATTAATTGATTGGGAGACGCGGCTCAAGATAGCACTGGGCGTAGCCGAGGGCGTCGCCTACTTGCACCATGATTGCCTCCCTGCTATCTTGCACCGGGACGTTAAAGCGCTCAATATTTTGTTAGGAGACACATATGAACCCTGTTTGGCTGATTTTGGGTTCGCTCGCTTCGTCGAAGAGGATCACGCTTCCTTTTCCGTTAATCCACAGTTCGCAGGCTCCTACGGCTACATTGCTCCCGGTAAGTCTTTTTTTTTAATTTTTTATTAATCGACCTACGTAACATGTTTATCTATAATAATGAGTTTTTTAGAGACTAGACTTTCGGTTAGATAAGCTACACTGATTATTACTTTTGATTAGATTATAGCGACGAAATGTGATAAGAAAAATGAAGTTGTAGGTTTGGCAGTTTTCCACATGAGCATTGTTCTTGGACTGTATGGTGGTAAATGGGGAGTGTACGGCAATCTATTGATTATCCTATCTTGTACATCTGATGTACTTGGAGGACCTGCACAAAGTCACAAATTACCTGCATGCATGCATAAGCATAAGCATAATAATTACATGTATCTTAGCTTTATCTTTGGACAAGTAAAAGGCATGATGGAGCCGGCACTAAAGCCAAATAATCACGAGTGACGCACAACACAACGCGGCTACGCTAATCTTATTAATCCCTGTTAGTTGTTGAGCTACTTTACAGACATCAAATATGACTTACCCCTCTGTCTTGTTAAAATGTGGAGAGTATAATGTATAATGTTTTGTTGGGTTGGAATCTTGCAGAGTATGCTTGCATGCTTAAAATCACAGAGAAGAGTGATGTGTACAGCTTTGGAGTGGTCCTACTGGAGATAATAACGGGGAAAAGGCCAGTGGATCCATCATTCCCGGATGGACAACATGTTATTCAGTGGGTCAGGGAGCATCTAAAGAGCAAGAAGGACCCCATTGAGGTTCTTGATTCCAAGCTACAAGGCCATCCAGACACACAAATACAAGAGATGCTGCAAGCACTTGGTATCGCTCTCTTGTGCACAAGTAATCGTGCAGAGGATCGACCCACAATGAAAGATGTTGCAGCATTATTGAGAGAAATTCGTCATGATCCTCCACCAGGGGCTGAGCCCCACAAGCCAAAACCCAAAGTAACGGAAGCTTCGTCCTATTCTTCGTCCTCAGTGACCCCTTCTCAGTTGTTGCTCCTACAATCTAGTTCCCATTCCTCATCACTTGCTTATTCCTCTTCCTCAGCAGCAGGCTACCACCCTCCAAGGAACCAATCCTCAATTCAACATTAAAGCCTCTATATTAGTTACTATATTTTCAGGATTTAGATGATCATGTTAGATATTTTGATTGGTTAATTAGTTAGTACTAGTCATTAACGTTAGCTTAATGTGGGAATTGTAAAGGTACTTCGAGTATTCTGATTGATAAGGCAAAATGAAATGAGTGTACAGAAGCTTAATTGATTGAATTGCACGATTCCATAGTATAAAATGGAAGGGGTAGCTTTACATAAGTTGATTCCATGAATCCTTCAAAAGAAGGCAATAGTGTGTCGTGTAACTCTGAAAGGCCAAAGAGTAAAAGTGGGAGATGTAAAGTTGATGAGCGGGAAGGTGGACTATCATTAGATACTTTTTGAGCCCTCTTTTGCTTCCATTATGATTGTTGCTGATAATGGAAAAAGATATGTGTTGGCTTGTCTTCGTTCAACTAACTTACCTAGGCCCGCACCATGTGAAGTAGGAGCATTCTGCATTCAAGTCTAGAACCCTTATGGGCAAGCAATGGCTAATCACAAGCATTCTTTCCGCATATAACCCATTTGATTTCACCGTACGTGTATAACAACTGGCTATGCTTTAAATAGTTGACAATACATGACCATCATCATGTCATGAACAGACTAAATGCAAAGTGACTGTGCTCCATTTTTTCCTTTCTTTTAGCTTCAAATAGGTTTTTCCAATTTTGCATCACTCAGTATTATTCTATATATGGGGTGGGCACTGGGCACAGTATTTGAAGAGTAAATAAAAATTTTAATGGTTCTCAGTTTACACCACCTGCACATGTAGATTAATGCGTAGGGCAGACTCTGTTTGTAAGCCCCCCTCTTGCAAGATATGGGATCTTTCATATATTTCCTTACCAAGAAAACAAACAAATTCCATTAAATAATGAAAACGACAATGAAAGATTACCATGTAATATAGTTTTGATTTATTTTTCCTTTCGTGACACCTGAAGAAAAGCTCATGACCAAGTACTATACTCACATATATGTACTCGTTTTCTGCTCCAAGAGAGATTTAGCATTTTAGATTATCACTACTAGTACTACAGCCATAAAAGGTAAGGCTGAGAATGAGAGTCAATTTTCACATGCCATGTTTGGTCCAAAAAGGATGAATGTTATTTGAAGAAAACACTCTGAAAAAGTGAGAGCAAAATAAATTACAGGGTCGGGGTCATGTGTCATATATAGGGTGATAAACTGATGAGTCTTATCTTGTCCAAGAATGAAGGAAAAATCTATCAAATTATTGTGTGGAGGCGTGATTGACTTTCAGTAGCAACCAAGCAAACTCGTCTTATTTAAACCTTAAATCCTATGTCTAACAGTAAGCATATTATTAATTGAATATGTGGGCTAAGGCTGATCCCAACTTCATCTAAAAATAATTTTTAACAGTTAAAATTCTCCTTTCAGTTCAACAAATACTTCAACTTTATGATACTTTCTCTTGGATTTCAAAATCAAGTTAAATATGCTTTCCTACCAAATAAAAAGTTAATATACTTTGTCGTAGTGAGAGGGAAATATTAGACAAACACAATAGTTTGACGGAAACACTTGGCCATAAAGTTTTCCAACATCAACTTTCTATAGTGACAGTAGCAAATTATAATCCACGACCCTACTTTTAAAGTGAGAGATAAGGGTCATATCACAGATAACCCGATTGAAACTTCAGCAAGCAAACTTGGTAAAACCTATTACTCTACCAGCGACCAAATTGATGACATGGAAGGGGGATTAAACAGTAATTCCCATAAACTATATATAAGGATAAATTTCTCACAAGGTTGCAGATTGGAACACCGAGAATTCATAGAGAGGACATGTTCAGTGTAATAATGAAAATCGTACAAGTAATGGTCAATCCGTACCGTGCTTAATTAAATGATTAGCATTTTGTAAAGGCTGGCTTGTTAATTAGCTTCTCCCACTTCATCATTTTTTTTATAATGAAAACATCCACGACTTCTATTGGTCCTTTCAAAGGTCTAATAACATAAGTGATTCCTATTTAGAATAAAGTTAGTCTAAGGTGAATTTTTAAAACAATGATGAGAAAGTAAAAATAATAATAATAATAATAATAATAATAATAATAATTGTTATAAAACACTTCATAATAGTAAAATCTTTTTAGACCAAAATTCTTATTGTAGTTATAAATGTTACAAATCTTTGTACCTTTTAGTCTTCATTTCTTGTTTCAAAATAATTGATATTTGGAATTTCTTCCTTTTAACAGGCATGATGAGTAAATTACTTGGGACAAATATAAAATAATGACAGTTTCCAAATAAGAAGCTGGGCATATAATGGTCGAATGGAAAATAATTTGTTATTTCTAATTCAAAATAGCTATGTACTTAGCTTTTATGCATGGGTCCACTACCTTAACCAAATTTTCTGTTCCTGTGTTAGGATACACACTTCACTTATCCTTGTTGTAGCGGGTCTGATCCTAGGTCTCGGTCTTCTCGTTCCTATCCGGGTAGTCCGATGTGAGGGGGGGTGTGCCTGCAAAGACACTCCAATGCTCAAGTAAGTGCTCGGCGTAATAAATGCGGTAGTTGAAAGTTAGTTACGTACCTCGCTGGGGTCCTATTTATAGTGATTCTTATTGGGTCCGATTAAGGACTAGGCCCCGAGAAATTAGGGGGCTAATCCGGTGCATTACATAAATTAACCTCTCCATAATTATCCGCGTAAATCCGTGACTTGGCCGAGCACACCGGCAGGTTCCGTTCAGATTGTGAGTGGTCGGTGGGCTCGAGTATCCGACCTGGTCGTCCACGGACTCGGGTATTCGGCCTAGTCGGCCACGAACTCGGGTATTCGGCCTAGTCAACCACCATACGGTATACAACCCCCGCAGCGTCGAGGATGGGAAAGACGAAGACGTTTTAATTATATAGGGTTGTGGTTCTCGGCGTGGAATGGCAGATGTTGCTTCCGATCGCTAGTAGTAGTGTGCATGTTCCATGCGATTTGATATGGGATGTAATTGATCCGCGAGAGTGCTCGGCTTAAGGGTGTTCGGCCGAAGCGTGCTCGGCTTCGGAGTCATTTTCGATTTGATACGCGAAGTGTGCTTGATCCGCGAGAGTGCTCGGCTTAAGCGTGTTCGGCCGAAGCGTGCTCGGCTTCGGAGTCATTTTCGATTTGATACGCGAAGTGTGCTTGATCCGCGAGAGTGCTCGGCTTAAGCGTGTTCGGCCGAAGCGTGCTCGGCTTCGGAGTCATTTTCGATTTGATACGCGAAGTGTGCTTGATCCGCGAGAGTGCTCGGCTTAAGCGTGTTCGGCCGAAGCGTGCTCGGCTTCGGAGTCATTTTCGATTTGATACGCGAAGTGTGCTTGATCCGCGAGAGTGCTCGGCTTAAGCGTGTTCGGCCGAAGCGTGCTCGGCTTCGGAGTCATTTTCGATTTGATACGCGAAGTGTGCTTGATCCGCGAGAGTGCTCGGCTTAAGCGTGTTCGGCCGAAGCGTGCTCGGCTTCGGAGTCATATTCGATTTGATACGCGAAGTGTACTTGATCCGCGAGAGTGCTCGGCTTGAGCGTGTTCGGCCGAAGCGTGCTCGGCCTCGGAGTCGGATCACGCGATTTGATACGCGGTGTATTTAATCCGCGAGAGTGCTTGGCTTGAGCGTGCTCGGCCGAAGCGTGCTCGGCCTCGGAGTCGGATCATGCGATTTGATACGCGAAGTGTACTTGATCCGCGAGAGTGCTCGGCTTGAGCGTGTTCGGCCTAAGCGTGCTCGGCTTCGGAGTCAGATCATTCGATTTGATACGCGAAGTGTACTTGATCCGCGAGAGTGCTCAACTTGAGCGTGTTTGGCCAAAGCGTGTTCGGCCGAAGCGTGCTCGGCCTCGGAGTCGGATCACGCGATTTGATACACGGTGTATTCAATCCGCGATAGTGCTCGGCTTGAGCGTGTTCGGCCTAAGTGTGGTCGGCCCCGGCATGTTGGGTCACGCGATTTGATGCGTGAAGTGTGTTGGAGCACGTGAGAGTGCTCGGCTTGAGAGTGTTCGGCCGAAGCGTGCTCGGCCTCGGAGTCGGATCATGCGCTTTGATACACGATGTATTTGATCCGCAAGAGTGCTCGGCTTTAGGGTGTTCGGCCTAAGCGTGGAATGGCCCCGGAATGTTGGTTCACGATTTGATGCGCGGTGTGTTGGAGCACGCGAGAGTGCTCGGCTTGAGAGTGCTCGGCCGAAGCGTGCTCGGCCTCGGAGTCGGATCATGCGATTTGATACGCGAAGTGTATTTGATCCGCGAGAGTGCTCGTCTTGAGTGTTCGACCGAAGCGTGCTCGGCCTTGGAGTCGGATCATGCGATTTGATACGCGATGTATTTGATCCGCGAGAGTGCTCGGCTTGAGCGTGTTCGGCCGAAGCGTGCTCGGCCTCGGAGTCGAATCATGCGATTTGATATGCGATGTATTTGATCCGCGAGAGTGCTCGGCTTAAGGGTGTTCGGCCGAAGCGTGCTCGGCCTCGAAGTTGAATCATGCGCTTTGATACGCGAAGTATTTAATCCGCGAGAGTGCTCTGCTTGAGCGTGGTCGGCCTAAGCGTGGTCGGCCCCGGAATGTTGGGTCACGCGATTTGATGCGCGAAGTGTGTTGGAGCACGCGAGAGTGCTCGACTTGAGAGTGTTTGGTCGAAGAGTGCTCGGCCTCGGAGTCGGATCATGCGATTTGATAAGCGATGTATTTGATCCGCGAGAGTGCTCGACTTAAGGGTGTTCGGCCGAAGCGTGCTCGGCCTCGGAGTCTGATCATGCGCTTTGATACGCGAAGTATTTGATCCGCGAGAGTACTCGGCTTGAGAGTGTTCGGCCGAAGCGTGCTCGGCCTCGGAGTCGGATCATGCGATTTGATACGCGATGTATTTGATTCGCGAGAGTACTCGGCTTGAGCGTGTTCGGCCGAAGCGTGCTCGGCTTCGGAGTCAGATCATTCGATTTGATATGCGATGTATTTGATCCGCGAGAGTGCTCGGCTTAAGGGTGTTCGGCCGAAGCGTGCTCGGCCTCGGAGTCGGATCATGCGCTTTGATACGCGAAGTATTTAATCTGCGAGAGTGCTCGGCTTGAGCGTGTTCGGCCTAAGCGTGGTCGGCCCTGGAATGTTGGGTCACGCGATTTGATGCGCGAAGTGTGTTGGAGCACGCGAGAGTGCTCGGCTTGAGAGTGTTCGGCCGAAGCGTGCTTGGCCTCGGAGTCGGATCATGCGATTTGATACGCGGTATATTTGATCCGCGAGAGTGCTCATCTTGAGAGTGTTTGGCCGAAGCGTGCTCGGCCTCTGAGTCGAATCATGCGATTTAATACACGATGTATTTGATCCGCGAGACTGCTCGACTTGAGCGTGTTCGGCCAAAGCGTGCTCGGCCTCGGAGTCGGATCATGCGATTTGATACGCGAAGTGTATTTGATCCGCGAGAGTACTCGGCTTGACAGTGTTCGGCCGAAGCGTGCTCGGCCTCGGAGTCGGATCATGCGATTTGATATGCGATGTATTTGATCCGCGAGAGTGCTCGACTTGAGAGTATTCGGTCTAACCGTGCTCGGCCTCGGTGTGTGTCGTAGTGCTCGGCCTAGGTACATCCTTAACCGAGGAGGGTACTCGGGAGGGAAACCTGTCGGGCTCGAATGTACGTTTTGAGTGATCAGCCGAGGATTGCTCGGCGTCGGCGCATGTTCGTGCGTAGTGCTCGGCCCAGGTACATCCTTAGTCAAGGAGGGTACTCGG